TTGGCCGAAAAACAAAATTATGTTAATTACAGTATCTAATATATTGAAAAATTTATTGTGGTATTTTCATCTCAGATGAATTGTCAGCGAATTATTACATTATTTAATTTTCGCTTCTTTTTTAAAATCCTATCGCCGACTTTATCATTTCGTATTGATTGCTACCATCTTCTCATTACTGAAATGAATTCAAAAAACAAAATTCTCACTATTTTATAATACGTGAAAATTATATTTCTTAATATTTAATATACCTATTTCTGATGATGAAATATTTCTTTCCATTTTTCACACCATAACCAACTGCCAGTACAGCATGATTTGTATACACCACCAACTAATCCTTCCTTTATAGTTTTTGTCGTCTTTCTTCGCTCGGACATGAAACACTGTCATTTTCTTTATACGGATATCTTTTACTGGTCATTACACCATTCTCACTAACCCAATCAAAAACCTGAAAAAACTACTAATTATCCTTCGACAATATAAATTAATCAGTTTATTAAGAAGCGAGAAATTTCCTACACACCTGTGTTAGATCTCCACCCCTCCGTAGCATTTTTGAAAAGGACTACAATCTATTACATCCTGAACTGACAGCCGTACCGGAGGCTTTCTATTTTTGAGTGCTATATGCATTTCAAGAGTTGATAGTGCCGCGAAAATGTAACATACTCTGCATGAACATTAAAATTTATTTCCTAAATTATTTGTTTGTTGAATAAAACAAAGAAAGAAAATCAACAAAAATGATAATGAAAAGTGGATGAAGAAAAATTGTTTGTTTCAATTGGAATTTTTAAAATTTCAAAAAAGGACCAAAATTTATTTACCTCAGTTCTTACCGGTGTTTTTGATACAGTTTTCCTGTAATCAACGTATCTTGGTATAGCTTTCTTTAGCTTTGATCCGAGTAATTGGCTCATATTTGCCTCCTTTATTTCAGTCGCATTCAAAGAAAATCCATAAAGCCTTTTTTTCTCTTCCTCAGTCTAATTAATGAAAAAGATAAAATAAATTTGATAATCAAAAAAGTAAAATTCAAAAACAAAAGAGAGAAAAGAGAACAATTGAATATAAATTCTAATAATTCACATTGCCATTTGTTTAAATATAAATTTAAATTTCATTTAATTTAACAAAAAATTTCCAACCCAATCGCTCATTTCATTCAATGATTGTTTATATGATTCCAATCCTTTTCTATAACGTTCGTTGTGTTTCTTAATCATTTTCATATTTTGAGCAAATTTTAATAAGCGAATTGGTTCCGGAACGGATGTATCATGCTTCTTACCTGAAACGGACAATAAAATATTTACGGAATTGGTAAGGAATTATTGAAGAAGGTTTTAAATTAATAATTTTATATCGTTTTATTTTCTTCCCTATCAACACAAAAAGTAAAACAATAGAAATTAAGAGAAGTTTAATTCACTTACTAAATTTTTTCAAATACTTTTTATAATTCAAATAATGCTTCTGATATAATGAATGAATTTTACCCGGCGTTTCATCATTATCCCTGCAAACTATTTAAAATTGTATTTGAATTTGATAATATTTGTTGAAGTTTGGAGAAATTAAAAGTATTAAAAAAATTTATTAATTAGCATTTTAATTAACAAACAAAAAAAATTACAGCGAATGAATAAAATAATCTCAGTTAAATGACAGCAATCAATATTGAGAAGTGATATTAGTGATTATCATTCTATACCACACAGTCAATATTGATTAGTGATATTATCGATTATCATTCTATTTTTGATAAAACATTTGTGATTTTAAAATTTCTTAAATTTTATTATATTTCAAAATAAATCAAAATATAGCTTGCAATTCATCAAATGGATTTGTATAAATGAGTACAAGAAAATTGGCCAGGTATAAAACAAGCAATGCCTTCATTGTCGGTAAAACTGCTCTTTCTTCTTATAGCTCAACTAGAAGAACTTTTTGTTTAGTATCACATTTATATCAAATTTATGCTGAAAACAATTTTTTCAATAATTATTATTTGTTTGATCTTTGATGCTAAAAAGTATTTCTAACATATTACTTTCACGATTTCTGTCATTTTCATTATCAGTAAATTTTGGATGATCGAAAGTTATCACATCTTACACTGATAACAATGTCAATAATCGACAGTTATTCTCTAATGACAAACCAACAAAATAACAATTTTAGATGTCATTTTTCAGTTTGCCATACTGTAAAATGGGACGTTATCGCCAGCTTCTACTTATTTTAGTTGCACAGAATATCATTATAATCTGCAACAGCTTAATTCATCAGTATGTTAATTATTCTTTTATTGTTATTCGAGCAACAACAAATACAATTTGAAAATCTTATAAAAATTTAGGCCTTTACTAGGAATAAAAATTTGATTTATTTTTCAAATATTACGCCAACAAACGTACGCCAACAAACTTACGCCAACAAACTCTTACGGATCAAAGAACTAATAAATTACAAAGATTTAAATCTTACATACGACAAATTTTGTTTACTTATGCTTTATTAGTAAACTATATTTTCTTTCAGGGAATTCAAAACATTAACTCATTCAAGATTACGTCAATTATATTGGACACATTATGATGATTACACGAAATTTGTCGCACAATATAGTAAGTAATTTAAAATTTCATTAGTAATTTTATTTTTCAATATATTTCTTGTTGATTTCATTTATTTTTCACAATTCATTCGTGGTTTTTGAATTCTTAAATTTTAGAAAATCATTGCTTAAAATACGAATTTGTTAATGGAACATCATTGCATAAACTTTTCATTGAACAGTTAAATATTCCCATGTAACATTATATACTATGAAATAATCTATTGGCATATAATTATTCTCAGCAAAGTTGAATTTATTATTTTTCATTTAAATTTTACATTTCCCTTTGTATCGTAATTTAATCAAGTGAGGTGTTCACGATATTAAAAAAAGTTAAGTGATCGATTCTTGAATTCGCTAATTCTAAAAATCATTACTAAAAATACGAATTTGTTAACGGAACTTCATTGCAAGAACTTTTTCTTTGAACAGTTAAATACTCCCGTACAACATTATATACTATGAAATAGTCTATTGGCATATAATTATTCTGAGCAAAGTTGAATTTGTTTATTTTTTATTTTGTATTGTAATTTAATCAATTAAAGTATTAATGATATTAAAAAGGTTATATGGTATAAATTGCTACAAATAATATTTTTGACTAAATAATTGGCATTATTTAAAATTTGTTGAAGGAATTGAAAATTAAAAATTTTATTGCAGAACGAAATGTGAAAGATGATCGACCGGAACCACATCGTTTATTGGCTTATGCAAAAAATATGGCAATCATTAAAAAGCATAATGAATTATATAAACAAGGCAAATCATCATTTATGCTTGGTCCAACTGTAATGAGTGATATGGTAAGATGTAAAATTTTATAATAATATTATTGTGTGCAAAAGATGAAAAAGATTATAAATTACAAATGGTGTAAATAGAAATAGCAACAATTAATTAACTAATCAATTATGATTATAGACAAAAGAAGATATGGATAGTGAATTCCCGGCGATAAAATTTAACGATACAGATTATCCACTACCACCGAATTTAACAGAAAGTTCAGTGAAAAGTATTAATTGGGTCGATAAAAATGCCGTCACAAAAGTTATAAATCTAAGGAAAGATGGGGTAATTCATTTATTTCACGTTATTTTATAATTAGTCCTTCATAACTAATATTATTGAAATAAAATGTGAAAGTTCATTTAATTGTTATTAATTTAATTAACATAAATAATCATCAATCAATGGCAATGAAATGATAACAAAATTGTGAAGCATCTAATGAAAAGATAAAGGTGATAAGATACTGAAGAATATTGTTGTTTTAAGACCATTTTTCTGTGTTCTTTCTTTTAAGCTTAATTTTTTAAAATAAAGAATTTGAAAAAGCTAAATAGACCTTTGAGTATAGCTTATCATTTAAGTTAAAAAATTGTTGAAAAACCTCATATATTATATATATGAAAAAATGTGATACAGAAGGGTTAGT